TCAGGCTGCTTGCTTCGGATTGAACAAGAAGTAGATGTCGCTGAAACCACGGAGCTCAAATGTTTACAGAGAAGTTGCTAAACTTCATCATGATTCATGACCAACCACTATCAGTTGTAGAAAACAAAGGATTTCTCAGCTTGATACTTGCAGCCAAGATATAGTTTACCCTCGAGGAGATATTTATCAGTACAACAGACAATCATAAAAAAAACATGATTTGAAAATTATATTAAAAACAAAAACAACTACATTATAAAGTGATGTAAAATATTAAAAACAGGAACATGTCTGTTGGTTTATGCCATGAACTTAGCAGGTGTTTGAGGCCATTTAACATTTTATTTCATTTTATTCATTCATTTAAAAGAAACAAAATAAAATAATAATCATGAAAAAGAAAACACTGAATGAAAAGAGTGCAGAAAGAAGAAAAAAAATTCTTATATCTGCCCCTTATTTAAAAAAATATAAAACAACTTTAAACAATCACTTAAATTAATCACTTTAATATCCACTTTAAAGCTAGGAATAAAAATAAACATGTTTTGTGTTAGCAGAATTTAATTCTAACTTTAAAACGTATCCAAATTTAATAAAGCTTACCTTAAGTTGCCTTTGTGGACATGCATGCATTGATTTGTACAAATTGTACTTGAGAGGAGATTATTACAGCCTCATATAAAATCAATGATGATCATGATATCGGAACTGGATCGGTATCGGCCGATATTCAGACTTAGGTATCGGGATCGGATCGGAAGTTTAAAAAAGTGGATCAGTGCATCCCTAGTGAAAATATCACATCATGTTGCTGCTGATCTGTTTCATGTTGATGTGTTCATGCGTGCTCATCTGTTCACACAGACTCATGTTCATGTTTGTGCTGATGTTCGACGTAATGTTTTTACGCTATTAGTGCTTAGTGTATTTTTAGTTGATGTTTTTCTTAGTTCATATCTTAGATGTCATCATTGTTTTTCTTTTACATTTTATTGTTGGATGTAACTGGGACCCTGTGTACATAATTTCGCTCCACCACATGTACCACATGAGGTGCGAATGACAATAAAGAATCTCTGACTCTGATCTGAAGCTTAAATGAACTTTTGACCTCTTTCAAGGCTGGTCAGCGCATGGTCAAATGGCCGCGTGAGTCTGGTGATTGTATGGCAAGCCATGTTGCCATATAATTGGATCATCAGTCGCACGTGTCAGCTGAAGCAATCAAAAGCCCAAAACCGACCCGGCCAGCACATTAAGCACATTATTATGGACCGGCCCAGCCCTAATCCGGGTCGGGCTGGTCCATAAAAATTTAGGCTTCGGATTTGGGTTAGAAATGACAGCTCTAAGCAATGACCCCCATGACCAAAAATGAAGTAGAGGGTAAAGATGATGGATGGATGGATGGATGGATGGATGGATGGATGGATGGATGGATGGATGGATGGATGGATGGATGGATATTAAGTCAGCAGGAGACTAATTGGTGAACTGCATTTGTGGGAGTTTCCAGAATGTCTTGTGATGTTTGCAGGGGTTGTAAGTTTCCTGAGAAGCAGATGTTTACAGACTTGTCACTTGAATTTGAAGTTAAGGGCAAGACAAGATAAAGTTTACATACTTATGTATGAATGGACAAATGTACGGATGGACAGACTATACCATAAAACGTCCGCCTTTCAAAAGGCGTATAATAAAAACACATCAGTTGATTTCTACTGCAGATTATTACAGTTCATTATTTTCAAACTCTGCTGAGTTGTTGTGGGAATAAGTTTAATTCTCTGAACATACTTCTGTATGACAAGCATCATATAAACTTTATATTAAGGGTGGAACAAGCCAGAGTTACTTTGACTGCTGACCACCTAAGATATACATTTTTGTTAGTAATTTCTGAGAGATGGATTTGAACAAGATTTAAAATTCTACAAAAACCAGGTGCCAAATGCTAATTTTCCAACAGCACAGCTGCAATATTTATGACACAGTTGGATTTCCTTAACTTCATCGGCAACAGGCATGATGAATTCAACAGGTTGGCTGGTTGTTTTCAAAGCACAGAGGAAGGCCAAGGACGAGGACAGGGGTCAAAGTAAGGTGCAAGATGTTTGTGAAAGCAGTGGAGCATTCAAGAGGAGAAAGACAGTTCTGAGGTGAACCAGAGCACACCGACATGAACAGGACTTTTATTAGAGTTTGAAGGCAGGCAGTGTTAGAAAGAAGAGTAGTACTATGTCAAGTATGAAAAATATGCCTCCTCCTAAACTACATGCTTTTAAATCAAAAAAATTATAGCGTATAACTCATACCCATTGTATTTTACAGTATACAGGTAAGAATTTAACATCACCTAACAAATGATACAACCCTAATGTAGGCAGTCAGTGCTGACACTTAAGCTATGTTTACATGCGCAAAATTCTTTTACCGGATTGCAATGTTTTCAGATTAAATAATTCGAATGTATAGTTTACATGGGCACAATCTGTCCATGACGAGCACTTACATGCAGCAGGCTTTTATTCTGAATAGAAGTTACATGTGCAGAGTGGTAAACTTTCCTTTTAAAATAAAACACAGAAGAAGACTTCCGGGATAAACGTAAACAAACCTGAGCGTCCAAAATGGACCTGCGACAGGTTTTAATGACGGTGGAGACGTTAATGCACTCCCTGATTGAGCTACAAGCAATACAGATGATTATGAGCTCTTTCAAAGTTTCTAGTAGAAATGTTGTCGCTCACCGACCAGTTTTGCTTCCCCGACATTTTAGCATTAGCCAGGCGGAAATATGTGACATTGACATAGGTCACACATGCACAGTCGTCAGTTTTCCAGTTTTCGGAAAAAAATGATTAGATAAAGTGTTTACATGCACACCGTTCAGATTATGAATCAGCATAAACCACCCATCTCATTCTGATTACAAATTATTTCACATCGAGCTGAATAAAAAAAAAAACAATCAGAATGGGGTATTTACATGACAATTTTATTCCGAATGGCCGTTTAATCTGATTACGTATGTCTATGTAAACATAGCTTTAGTTTGCTCTCAGCAAAACAGAAGAATATTAGGGGGTTTTTTTCCGGGCTACATAGGAAGACATTGATGATATACAGGTGCTGGTCATAAAATTAGAATATCATGAAAAAATTGATTTATTTCAGTAATTCCATTTAAAAAGTGAAACTTTATTTATATTCATCCATTACACACAGACTGCTATATTTCAAATGTTTATTTCTTTTAATGTTGATGATTATAACTGACAACTAATGAAAACCCCAAATTCAGTATCTCAAAAAATTAGAATATTGTGAAAAGCTTCAATATTGAAGACACCTGGTGCCACACTCTAATCAGCTGATTAACTCAAAGCACCTGCAAAGGCCTTTAAATGGTCTCTCAGTCTAGTTCTGTAGGCCACATAATCATGGGGAAGACTGCTGACTTGACAGTTGTCCAAAATATGACCATTGATACCTTGCACAAGAAGGACAAAGAAAAAGGTCATTGCTAAAGAGGCTGGCTGTTCACAGAGCTCTGTGTCCAAGCACATTAATAGAGAGGAGAAGGAAAGGAAACGATGTGGTAGGAAAAAAAAGTGTACAAGCAATAGGGATAACCACACCCTGGAGAGGATTGTGAAACAAAACCCATTCCAAAATGTGGGGGAGATTCACAAAGAGTGGACTGCAGCTGGAGTCAGTGCTTCAAGAACCACCACACGCAGACGTATGCAAGACATGGGTTTTAGCTGTCCCATTCCTTGTGTCAAGCAATTCTAGAAAAAGAGTGTCAGATGAGTCTCGTCTGGGACTGTTGCCGAGTGGTCCAAAGTTATGTTTTCTGATTAAAGTAAATGTTGCATTTCCTTTGGAAATCAAGGTCCCAGAGTCTGGAGGAAGAGAGGAGAGGCACATAATCCATGTTGTTTGAGGTCCAGTGTCAATTTTCCACAGTCAGTGATGGTTTGGGGTGCCATGTCATCTGCTGGTGTTGGTCCACTGTGTTTTCTGTGGTCCAAGGTCAACACAGCTGTCTACCAGGAAGTTTTAGAGCACTTTGTGCTTCCTGCTGCTGACCAACTTTGTGGAGATGCAGATTTCATTTTTCAACAAGACTTGGCACCTGCACACAGTGCCAAAGCTACCAGTACCTGGTTTAAGGGCCATGGTATCCCTGTTCTTAATTGGCCAGTAAACTCTCCTGACCATAGCCCCATAGAAAATCTATGGGGTATTGTAAAGAGGAAGATGTGATACTCCAGACCCAACAGTTCAGAAGAGCTGAAGGCCACTATCAGAGCAACCTGGGCTCTCATAACACCACAGCAGTGCCACAGACTGACCCGACTCCATGCCACGCTGCATTGCCGCAGTAATTCAGCCAAAAGGAGCCCCAACTAAGTATTGATGCTGTACGTGCTCATACTTTTCATGTTCATACTTTTCAGTTGGACAACATTTCTAAAAATCTTTTTTTTAATTGGTCTTAAGTAATATTCTAATTTTCTGAGATACTGAATTTGGGGGTTTCATTAGTTGTGAGTTATAATCATCGACATTTAAAGAAATAAACATTTGAAATATATCAGTCTGTGTGTAATGAATGAATATAAGGTTGTTTTCACGCCTGATAGTCCGGTAGGCTCAGTTCAGTTGGGGACCAATATTCATAACATTTTGTTTACATTTGAGCTGGTGCATTTGCATTCACACTGATTTCCAGAAGAAGAAGTGTATTCAGAGGTTTTTGTGTTGTTTCTTTCAGTAGTCTTGGTGCAGCGCCCCCACAGGCGAGCGGGTGAATAGGATGGTTCAACAGGTTGACTCGACTGCACAGTGCAGTATGAATGCAAACGCACCAGCTCAAATGTAAACAAAATGTCATGAACATTGGTCCCCAATCGAACCGAGTCTACCAGACTATCAGGTGTGAATGCACCCTAAAACAGATGAAAAGGTTAGTTCTGTACAACACTTACTCTTTGCAGGCATCGGAGACGTGTGGAGGAACAGTGTATTTACAGTCCATGATCATGGTGAGAGTCTCACTGTCATTAGCTTCCTGGAAAGGGGGCTGGCCACAAACCAACATGAACAGGATCACACCAAGACTCCAGATGTCTGGGGAAGGGAGACATGAGAATATAATCTGTACCCATGACAGCTAAAGCAAACTTGACGTCATTCATTATTATTCCTTTACACTTTGTTTCATTAAGCAGACTGTCGTAATATTCAGTTAAAATTGTATGTGTATGTACATACACACACACACACACACACACACACACAAACACACACACACATATACAGTGCCTTGCGAAAGTATTCGGACCCTTGAACTTTTTCACCTTTTGCCATATTTCAGGCTTCAAACATAAAGATATACATTTTTTGTGTGTGTGAAGAATCAACAACAAGTGGGACACAATCGTAAAGTGGAATGAAATTTATTGGATGTGTCAAACTTTTTTAACAAATAAAAAACCGAAAAGTGGGGCGTGCAATATTATTCGACCCCCTTGCGTAAATAATTTGTAACGCCGCCTTTTGCTGCAGTTCCAGCTGCAAGTCTCTTGGGGTTTGTCTCTATCAGTTTTGAACATGGAGACACTGAAATTCTTGCCCATTCTTCTTTGCAAAACAGCTCAAGCTCAGTGAGGTTGGAAGGAGAGCGTTTGTGAATAGCAGTCTTCAGCTCTTTCCACAGATTCTCGATTGGATTCAGGTCTGGACTTTGACTTGGCCATTCCAACACCTGGATACGTTTATTTGTGAATCATTCCATTGTAGAGTTGGCTTTATGTTTTGGATCATTGTCTTGTTGGAAGATAAATCTCCGTCCCAGTCTCAGGTCTCTTGCAGACTCAAACAGGTTTTCTTCCAGAATGGTCCTGTATTTGGCCCCATCCACCTTCCCAGTCCCTGCTGACGAAAAGCAGGCCCAAACCATAATGCTGCCACCACTATGTTTGACAGTGGGGATGGTGTGTTCAGGGTGATGAGCTGTGTTGCTTTTACGCCAAACATATCGTTTTGCATTGTGGCCAAACAGTTCGATTTTGGTTTCATCTGAGCAGAGCACCTTCTTCCACATGTTTGGTGTGTCTCCCAGGTGCTTGTGGCAAACTTTAAACAACACTTTTTATGGGTATCTTTGAGAAATGGCTTTCTTCTTGCCACTCTTCCATAAAGGCCAGTTTTGTGCAGTGTACGACTGATTATCGTCCTATGGACAGACTCTCCCACCTCAGCTGTAGATCTCTGCAGTTCATCCAGAGTGATCATGGGCCTCTTGGCTGCATCTCTGATCAGTCTTCTCCTTGTTCGACATGAAAGTTTAGAGGGACGGCTGGGTCTTGGTAGATTTGCAGTGCTCCTTGGGATGTTTAAAGCTTGGGAAATCTTTTTGTATCCAAATCCGGCTTTAAACTTCTCCACAACAGTATCTCAGACCTGCCTGGTGTGTTCCTTGGTCTTCATGATGCTCTCTGCGCTTTGAACAGAACCCTGAGACTATCACAGAGCAGGTGCATTTATATGGAGACGATTACACACAGGCGGATTCTACCAAAAATACCAAAGTTAAAAAATAAAACTCACAATTTGTACTGTAATGTGTAACGTAATTTTATTCTTGTTAGAATTAATAGTAATTACAAAATTGATATAGAATAAACGAAACGCCAGGATCCGACACCAAAGTGAAGGTACCGACATTGGTACCGATACAAATTTTTTTTTTAAAGGTACCCAGCCCTAACCATTTTATTGTTGATGTTTTGTTCTCATGTCAGTTAGGGAGATGATCAGAGCCCTAAACCCCAGAGAACCACAGAGAAGACTCAGGCAGAGACACAGAGGTGCAGATGTCTGCCATCAACCTTAACCTCAGTGAATCCAGTGACCTGCTGGTGGAATGTGAGGGACAATATGTCAGTGCTATCAAACTTGACAACCAGGTATCTGTGTGTGCAACAATCATCATCTACAGCCTCAGAGGGAACACTTCCTACTGCTGGAGACACCATCAGTCAGGAGTGGGCTTGTTTGTGTCCAGAGAAAACAGACATGTTGTTTCTTAAGAAAAACTGTTCAGTGAAAAGGTCCTCAGTGTGTAGCAGTGAGCATTAGACACTGATGTGTCACTTGTTGTTTGCAACTGTTCTTTTGAACTGGAAATTATTTGTTTATTTTAATGTAAGAAAACTGCTTGGAATAGAAATACCAAAGTTAAAAAATAAAATTTACAATATGTACAGTAATGTGTAACGTAATTTTATCCTTGTTAGAATTAATAGTAATTACAAAATTGGTATCGAATAAACGAACCGCCAGGAAGCGACACCAAAGTGAAGGTACCGACATCGGTACCGATACAAATTTTTTTTTAAAGGTACCCAGCCCAGCAAACATTTTCTACTGCTGGAGACACCATCAGCCAGGAGCGGGCTTGTTTGTGTCCAGAGAAAGCAGACATGTTGATTTTTCTGAAGAAAAACTGTTAATTGAGAAGGTCCTCAGTGTGTAGCAGTGACTATTAGACACTGACGTGTCACTGGTTTGCAACAGTTCTTTTGTCCTGGAAATTATTTGTTTATTTTAATGTAAGAAAACTGCTTGGAATAGAAATACCAAAGTTAAAAAATAAAATTCACAATATGTACTGTAATGTGTAACGTAATTTTATTCTTGTTAGAATTAATAGTAATTACAAAATTGGTACCGAAAAAAGAACCATCCAGGAACCGACACCGAAGTGAAGGTACCAACACCGGTACCGATTTTTTTAGAAAGGTACCCAGCCCTTGGAAAAACGCATCATCCTTCGTTATCATTTTCTCAGAATAACAAAACAATCAATGCATCATGTGACAGCGCTCTCCTTCTTAGCACGTGTTTCTGTTAGTGAAACTCCACACCTGCTGTCATGAACACCACTGCACCTCAAAGACACACATGCTAACGTCTAGTCATTTCTTACATGCCTATCTAAGTGTGCACATCCCCAGTTACTACTAGTTTTTCCCAGGAAAGGCAACCCAGAAACACTAACATGCAGGGTACACATACTGTACCTGCACATGTGCGCACTGCTGCAGCAGTGATAACAGAACCAACAGCAGGAGGGTAAGAAGAAGCAGCCTCCAGCATGGAACAAGGACATATAACACCCGTAGTACCCTGTCCTCCCTCTCGTACGAACACACCACATGGTGGGGCTTAAAAATTAAAACTGTACATGCTAACTAGCCCAGCTATACAATCCCATTAAAACATTCATGAATTAGTGTGTTCCCATCTAATGTTTAGCAAACAGAAAAGGGTTTACTTAATCAAGCTGAAAGGATTAAACTAAAAATTGCTATTGCAGCAAATTTTCTTAGTTATTGGTAGCTCCTGGGAAGTAATTACACTAATGGAAATTTCAAGTCATGCTATAATTAAGCACAATTGCTCACAGGCCTTAATAATGTATGGATTGGCAGAAAAAATAGTTAAACTTATAAATAATATTTACCTATAAGCCTTTTTTGGCAGAAAGACAGACTTTTCAGAATATAAAATAAAATTTGCTTCCAAGCCGAGATTTACATGAGCCAATTCTGACAGGAGACGTAAAGCATGCAAATGTTTTAAATTTAGCATTTAATCCAGAATAGAATCCAAAATCTCACTTCTAACATATACAGCTCTCAACAACCTAGCTGCATCTTATATTACAGATCTTATTGTTCTATTTTGTATAGGCTTCGCCCTTTAAGGCTGTCGCTGGTGGGTTTCATCCCGTCATGCGCAGCACTGAAAACTTCAGTCAACGCACACCTACTGTGTGGGCCTCACCCGGTGAGACCGGGTAATCGGCTCCCATTGAGCAAGCAACCAGCACTGTTTTCTACAAGAACACGATGTCCAGCACCAGCACCATCCACCTGTGCCCATCCTACAAGACCAGCTACATGCTGAGCTTCGACCAGCACGCCATATGTGAAGGATGCCTGGGTCCCCGCCACGCCGACCTCTCCTCCTCCTGCCGTCTCTGTGACCTCCTCCCTCCTGAGGAGAGGCAGAGGCGAGTAGCCTTGTTCAAGGCTAACATCGAGGAATGCCTCTCCGTGATGGGGGACTGTTCGCTGGACGACGCCATCACCTTTTTTGACGCCGAGTCACGGGGCGAATCGGATGATTCTTCCAGGAAAGGCGACGTCAGCAGCAGCCCCGCTGCTCATTCCCACCTGGAGAGCGTAATGTTGGAACGGGGGGGACGAGCGGATGCCCCCCCCCCCCCCCGCCTTTCCACATTGGCAAACACACCGCTCCCAGCTGTCAGTGTCCTCCTCTCGGAGCTGCCCGGCATAATCCAGGAGGTGGCTGTCACCAAGGGACTTTCTGTTCCTCTCCTCCACCCGCCCAGATCTGATGATCTAGCAGAAAGGTTTGGCTCCACCCCGGCTCGCCGCCCTGACCCCATCTGGCCTCGTTTCCTAGCAGTGACGTCCTACTGGAAGGAGGCTGCAGCTGGACCTAGTAGGCTGAAGGTGCCCATCTCCACCTTCGCTCCTATCACCAGAGTGGAGGGGTTTACTGAGCAGAACTTTCCCTTGGTATCCCCCAAGCCAAGCCTGGCGGAAGCACTCGGAGCAAAAGTGTCCAGGTTGGACCAGCGCCCTGTCTCTCCAGGGAGATACGACCAGACGGTGACGTCGCTCTCCAATCGAGCCCACCAGTGTGCTTTCCAGGTGACCGCAGCGAATAACAATGTCGCCCTGCTGGCCTACAGCATCTCCAAAAGGCTGAAGGACATAGACCTGCCTGAGGAGATGAGGAGCTCGCTCTGCGAAGCATCTGACGTCATCCTCAACCTGTGCGCCTCCTCTGCGGTCTGCCTGTCTTGCATCGCCGCCTGGATGACAATGATCCAGAGATCCACTTGGCTCCGACACTCCCCCTCCTTGCCGGAGAAACTGCAAAAAGACCTGTTGGAGGGCCCCATCATGATGGACGCACTGTTCGGGGCCAATTTCAAGGCCATGCTTGAAAAGTCGAAGAAGTCGGAGGAGATGTTGGAGACTGCGCCATCGGATTAAGCCGCACCCCTCCTCCCGCCCCTCCGCCCGCTG